GGGAGGAGGCGGGGCTGGGGCCGGCCCTGCCCTTCCCTTCCTCTCCGCAGGTCTGGAGCCCCAGCGGCTCCCGACTTCCCGCCGGCCAGAAGGCTTGGGGTGGGGGCGGAAGGCTTCTCACGTACTGGGGGGCCGGCCTCTATCGGGGAGGCATCTGGGGGTCAGCTGGCAGCGAGAGACGTCCACACATTCACACACAAACACACACACGAAACGTGAGCGCACAGCCACACACAGGTCCCAGGGAGCTGGCGGCCTACCCACGCGCGGAGGCACACACGTGCACATTCGGCACACATTTGTGCACACAACCTCACTGGGCGGCTTGGCCCGACTCGGACCCATAACTGCCACCGCGCAGCCAGGGACAGTGGCCGAGACAGCGATCACTTACTGGGTGTTTGCCAGCTCCCCACGCACAAGGATGCACACATGCACTCACACAGGAGCCGCGTGTTTGCACACACATAGAAAAAAAAAGGAATAGCCGTGGCAAACACAGAAACATCTAGACCTAGAGTCAACTGCACCGCCTTCCCGTACCCTGCCTGTCCACACACGACCCATTGGTACGCGGACACCCGTGCCCTGCGGGGGTCCCTGCCTCAGTATCCGCCCCCACTCTCTCTGAACACCCTTGGTGGGGGGATGAAGGGTCCTAAAAGGGGAAAACGGCACCCACTGCCTGCACCCTGACTCCCGCAGACAAAGGTGGGATGCGTCCCATTTACAGCTCACAGCACCGAGGCTGAGAAGCCCAAATCCAGCACCTAGTATTGTAACCGGGTGTTATTTGAGGGTGGTGCCGGGTGGCTCCCACAACCTGGGTATTATAGGAACTTTGTTTCTGTGTGTCTGGATTGTGTCTGTGTTGTGTGACTTCGGGCGGGAGGCTGAGTGTCCGCAGGCCCTGTGACTGTGGAGCTAGGTAGGGTGTGGTTCTCAGGAGGCCGCAATAGTGCGCCCCAAGGTGACTGTGACTTAACGGCGTGGGCTCTGTCCACGGCTGTTGGAAGCTGTGGCATGGCCTTGCATAAGCGTGCTTCTGCGTGAGGCTGGGTGCCTGCGTGCGGTGGCCTGTGTTTAGTTGTTCCAGGACGGCCACTGTGAACTGGGTGTGTGGCAGTGTATGTGTGTCGCTGGGCGGGCTGTGTGTGCGGTGGTTCCCACCCGTGCTGAGTGTGGGTAGTTCTGCAGGGTGAGACACCCAGTGTCACTGCCTGAGGCTTTATGGGGCTATCCGCAGTCGTTCCAGCAGCGGGGTATACTTTTGTTGTGTAAAGCGCTATGTTGAGTGTCGCTGCAAATGTGTGTGACTGGGTGTACAATTTGGGTGGCTGGCTCCATGAGGTGAGTGAACGTGTGCTCGCGCGCGTGTGCAGCCGCGATCAGCTGTGCGTCCCTGGGTGGCCGTCCCCGATCCTGACCCGCGAGTGTGTAGCCGCGCCCCCACCCCCTGCA